AAAAAAAAAAAAAAAAAAAGAGAGAAAAAGAAAAAAGAAACAAATGAAAAATACTTGTAAATCGTAAAACTATCTCTCATCGACTAGGTACGAAGAAAATTATCGAAATAATCGATACTTCTCGAAGCCCTATTTAAACACCAATGGACGAATTGTAAAAATTGTCGCAGGACGAAAAATCGAACAATATCGAATTCGAATGTCGTGAAAGTCGATCGTGTGTGTTTACTTTTCGTGTATTCGTTATGCTGTTTCGTTGACTTGAGAAAGATACGGGTATATTTTTGGGTGTACAGGTTAAGTGTACAGGTTAGGTTCGCTTCGCTTACAATCCGAACGAAAAAATTTAACACTAGAATCATTTATAATTTTAAAATGTGTATAATAAGAACAATAATAATTCTTATGATTGTAACTAATAAATAGACGTGATAATAATACGTAAATTGAAATTAAAATAAAATCATTTAAATTTCTTCAGTCTTCGAAAATTATATTATACGCTTAATTAAACTAATAAGAAAATTCTTGAATATGAGTCAAGAAAAGAGTATTTAATGACGGTACTAGTTAAAAAATATATATATATATAATCAAGAAAATCGGATATCATTAAAATGATCGCGATGATGTGAGATTTCTTAAAAAAAGAAATTCTCAAAATTCTAATGCGTTCTAATGTTAATTCGTATTTCATATTTTCACGTTACTTCGTATCTCACTCGATTCGACTTCCACGATCCTTTCAGATAGAATAAGAGTATTTTAAGAGAGTGCGCCATTGTCAATATTTATGATTTATTATTTGACAATCACGTTAGAAATAACTATTTATTAAATACTGTTATTTTTGTTTCTTATTTCCTTTTATTTATTATTTATGATGAAGGCAGTCTGTTGTTGCTCATTTGCTCAAAATTTACGCATACAAAGATAATTATCATTATTCGTTTGTGATGTTTTTCATGAATGACAATCATGATCTGAACATGATAAAGATTTCTTTTCTAATCCTGTGTCGTCAAATTTTTTTTTTATCGTGCAATGAATAATTCATCGCATATGTACAATCAAAGTGTTTTTTTTTTTTTTTTTCTTTTTTTTTTTTTATTTAGAAAAAACGTATGGCTATTTGAAAGCGTCAAGTACTTGCTGTTAAGACGCGCGTTTTAAAAATAAAAATTCTAAAATATTTTTTTTTACATCGTGAATATTTTCGAGCGTTCGAAAAACTATCGTATTATAAAATTATGATATCGATTATTTTTTTTAATCTCAAGCTTGATTCTTAGAAAAAAATTACATAAACCATAAAAATATTACTTCGAATTAAATATCGAAAAATTCTAAATTCATCTTTTTTAAAATTTCATGCATAATAAATTTCTATAAAAAAAATTTATTTGACAAATAAGATACAACGTTGAAGATCATCACGACACGCAAAGTGTGTTGAGTATGATGCTATGATAGTTTACATTACATTACCAAAATCATGAATATGTTAAATAAAGATATAAGGTTAAAATAAACCACATTGCCTTTTCAAAGCGTTATAACCCGATATTATGTTTACAGAGTGTTACGTTTAATTGGATAATATGATCAAATATTTCACGATTAAAATTATATTATATTAAAAAAAAAATGTTTTAACAAAAGTTGTTCGATTCAAAGGGGAATATCATATTTTGCAAATAATTTTTTTATTAAATTAAATAACGAAGAAGATTTCAAAAGAAAAGATTTCATTTGTTTAAATAGAACTATGTGATTTTGAATGCATAAAAAAAATTTTTCCTATTAAAAAAAAAAAAAAAAAAAATAGTAATTTATATTACTATTTATATCGAAAAACTATTGGTTCAGAAGATATTTCAATTTGAAATTTGTAAAATATATGAAAGACAAAAAGAGCGTAAATAGCTAGAAGAATGAATGGGATGATGACATGATACGATATACTTTACTATCCATGCTCTTTGTTTTTCAAATGTAAATTTAATAATAAATTTTATAAATTTCAATCTAACGCTTAATATATACAAATCTTTAATAATAATGATATAACTATATAATTATGTAAAATTAATATATCTTAGTATAGGAAAGAAATTCTATAAAAAAAATTTTTACAATATAAATAAAATTTCCGTATAAAATACACGATTTAAAATTTTTTTACATTCATAATTTAATTTAATATTTAGATGATTATCTCTGTACATATAAATAAAATCAAAATATCGTCAAGAAAAAGAAAATAATACTTGAATTTTCCAAATATCCATACATTTTTGCCCCTTAAGTCTCTTTTTCATGAAATGATCGCGTATCCTGCACGAAAATTATCACAATTAAGAAAGCTTTAGGAAATGTTTCTACAAAAATCGAGAATCGAACAGCGCAAGCGTCGTCGATATTTAAAATAAAACGCGGGAAAGCGTTCGGGAATCTCTTCGGGAACAGCTTAATAGACACGAATGAAACGAACCAAATATATCCATATACATTGAGATTTCGAATGGGAAACAAACAATAATACTGACACGGGCGAGCACGAAATGATAATAAC